GTGATCCATGTCCCCAGTCCCATACATCCCTGTCTACCTGTGATGCTCCCATGTCCCCAGTCCCATACATCCCTGTCTACCTGTGGTGATCCATGTCCCCAGTCCCATACATCCCTGTCTACCTGTGGTGATCCATGTTCCCAGTCCCATACATCCCTGTCTACCTGTGGTGATCCCATGTTCCCAGTCCCATACATCCCTGTCTACCTGTGGTGATCCATGTTCCCAGTCCCATACATCCCAGTCCGACCTGTGGTGATCCCATGTCCCCAGTCCCATACATCCCTGTCTACCTGTGGTGATCCATGTCCCCAGTCCCATACATCCCTGTCTACCTGTGGTGATCCCATGTCCCCAGTCCCATACATCCCTGTCTACCTGTGATGATCCCATGTCCCCAGTCCCATACATCCCTGTGTACCTGTGTGATGCTCCCATGTCCCCAGTCACATACATCCCTGTCTACCTGTGGTGATCCATGTCCCCAGTCCCATACATCCCTGTCTACCTGTGATGCTCCATGTTCCCAGTCCCATACATCCCTGTCTACCTGTGGTGCTCCCATGTTCCCAGTCCCATACACCCCTGTCTACCTGTGGTGATCCATGTTCCCAGTCCCATACATCCCTGTCTACCTGTGGTGATCCCATGTTCTCAGTCCCATACATCCCTGTCTACCTGTGGTGCTCCCATGTCCCCAGTCCCATACATCCCTGTCTACCTGTGATGCTCCATGTCCCCAGTCCCATACACCCCTGTGTACCTGTGGTGATCCATGTCCCCAGTCCCATACATTCCTCTCTACCTATCATGATCCCATGTCGCCAGTCCCATACATCCCTGTCTACCTGTGGTGATCCCATGTCCCCAGTCCCATACATCCCTGTCTACCTGTGATGCTCCATGTTCCCAGTCCCATACATCCCTGTGTACCTGTGGTGATCCATGTTCCCAGTCCCATACATCCCTGTCTACCTGTGGTGATCCATGTCCCCAGTCCCATACACTCCTGTCTACCTGTGGTGATCCATGTCCCCAGTCCCATACATCCCTGTCTACCTGTGGTGATCCCATGTCCCCAGTCCCATACATCCCTGTCTACCTGTAGTCATCCCATGTCCCCAGTCCTACCTGTGGTGATCCATGTCCCCAGTCCCATACATCCCTGTCTACCTGTGGTGATCCCATGTTCCCAGTCCCATACATCCCTGTCTACCTGTGGTGATCCATGTTCCCAGTCCCATACATCCTAGTCCGACCTGTGGTGATCCCATGTCCCCAGTCCCATACATCCCTGTCTACCTGTGGTGATCCATGTCCCCAGTCCCATACATCCCTGTCTATCTGTGGTGATCCCATGTCCCCAGTCCCATACATCCCTGTCTACCTGTGATGATCCCATGTCCCCAGTCCCATACATCCCTGTCTACCTGTGATGCTCCCATGTCCCCAGTCACATACATCCCTGTCTACCTGTGGTGATCCATGTCCCCAGTCCCATACATCCCTGTCTACCTGTGATGCTCCATGTTCCCAGTCCCATACATCCCTGTCTACCTGTGGTGCTCCCATGTTCCCAGTCCCATACACCCCTGTCTACCTGTGGTGATCCATGTTCCCAGTCCCATACATCCTAGTCCGACCTGTGGTGATCCCATGTCCCCAGTCCCATACATCCCTGTCTACCTGTGGTGATCCATGTCCCCAGTCCCATACATCCCTGTCTATCTGTGGTGATCCCATGTCCCCAGTCCCATACATCCCTGTCTACCTGTGATGATCCCATGTCCCCAGTCCCATACATCCCTGTGTACCTGTGATGCTCCCATGTCCCCAGTCACATACATCCCTGTCTACCTGTGGTGATCCATGTCCCCAGTCCCATACATCCCTGTCTACCTGTGATGCTCCATGTTCCCAGTCCCATACATCCCTGTCTACCTGTGGTGCTCCCATGTTCCCAGTCCCATACACCCCTGTCTACCTGTGGTGATCCATGTTCCCAGTCCCATACATCCCTGTCTACCTGTGGTGATCCCATGTTCTCAGTCCCATACATCCCTGTCTCACCTGTGGTGCTCCCATGTCCCCAGTCCCATACATCCCTGTCTACCTGTGATGCTCCATGTCCCCAGTCCCATACACCCCTGTGTACCCTGTGGTGATCCATGTCCCCCAGTCCCATACATCCTTCTCTACCTATCATGATCCCATGTCGCCAGTCCCATACATCCCTGTTCACCTGTGGTGATCCCATGTCCCCAGTCCCATACATCCCTGTCTACCTGTGATGCTCCATGTTCCCAGTCCCATACATCCCTGTCTACCTGTGGTGATCCATGTTCCCAGTCCCATACATCCCTGTCTACCTGTTGTGATCCATGTCCCCAGTCCCATACATCCCTGTCTACCTGTGGTGATCCCATGTCCCCAGTCCCATACATCCCTGTCTACCTGTGGTGATCCCATGTCCCCAGTCCCATACATCCCTGTCTACCTGTGTGGTGATCCCATGTCCCCAGTCCCATACATCCTGTGTGGTGATCCATGTCCCCAGTCCCATACATCCATCTCTGTCTACCTGTGGTGATCCATGTCCCCAGTCCCATACATCCCTGCCTGTCTACCTGTGGTGATCCATGTTCCCAGTCCCATACATCCCTGTCTACCTGTGGTGATCCCATGTTCCCAGTCCCATACATCCCTGTCCATACCTGTGGTGATCCATGTTCCCAGTCCCATACATCCCAGTCCTCACCTGTGGTGATCCCATGTCCCCAGTCCCATACATCCCTGTCTACCTGTGGTGATCCATGTCCCCAGTCCCATACATCCCTGTCTATCCTGTGGTGATCCCATGTCCCCAGTCCCATACATCCCTGTCTACCTGTGATGCTCCCATGTCCCCAGTCCCATACATCCCTGTCTACCTGTGATGCTCCCATGTCCCCAGTCACATACATCCCTGTCTACCTGTGGTGATCCATGTCCCCAGTCCCATACATCCCTGTCTACCTGTGATGCTCCATGTTCCCAGTCCCATACATCCCTGTCTACCTGTGGTGCTCCCATGTTCCCAGTCCCATACATCCCTGTCTACCTGTGGTGATCCATGTCCCCAGTCCCATACATCTCTGTCTACCTGTGGTGCTCCCATGTTCCCAGTCCCATACATCCCTGTCTACCTGTGGTGATCCATGTTCCCAGTCCCATACATCCCTGTCTACCTGTGGTGCTCCCATGTTCCCAGTCCCATACATCCCTGTCTACCTGTGGTGATCCCATGTTCCCAGTCCCATACATCCCTGTCTACCTGTGATGCTCCATGTCCCCAGTCCCATACACCCCTGTGTACCTGTGGTGATCCATGTCCCCAGTCCCATACATCCCTCTCTACCTATCATGATCCCATGTCGCCAGTCCCATACATCACTGTCTACCTGTGGTGATCCCATGTCCCCAGTCCCATACATCCCTGTCTACCTGTGATGCTCCATGTTCCCAGTCCCATACATCCCTGTGTACCTGTGGTGATCCATGTTCCCAGTCCCATACATCCCTGTCTACCTGTGGTGATCCATGTCCCCAGTCCCATACACTCCTGTCTACCTGTGGTGATCCATGTCCCTAGTCCCATACATCCCTGTCTACCTGTGGTGATCCCATGTCCCCAGTCCCATACATCCCTGTCTACCTGTAGTGATCCCATGTCCCCAGTCCTACCTGTGGTGATCCATGTCCCCAGTCCCATACATCCCTGTCTACCTGTGGTGATCCCATGTCCCCAGTCCCATACATCCCTGTCTACCTGTGGTGATCCCATGTCCCCAGTCCTACCTGTGGTGATCCATGTCCCCAGTCCCATACATCCCTGTCTACCTGTGGTGATCCATGTCCCCAGTCCCATACATCCCTGTCTACCTGTTGTGATCCATGTTCCCAGTCCCATACATCCCTGTCTACCTGTGGTGATCCCATGTTCCCAGTCCCATACATCCCTGTCTACCTGTGGTGATCCATGTTCCCAGTCCCATACATCCCAGTCCGACCTGTGGTGATCCCATGTCCCCAGTCCCATACATCCCTGTCTACCTGTGGTGATCCATGTCCCCAGTCCCATACATCCCTGTCTATCTGTGGTGATCCCATGTCCCCAGTCCCATACATCCCTGTCTACCTGTGATGATCCCATGTCCCCAGTCCCATACATCCCTGTCTACCTGTGATGCTCCCATGTCCCCAGTCACATACATCCCTGTCTACCTGTGGTGATCCATGTCCCCAGTCCCATACATCCCTGTCTACCTGTGGTGATCCATGTCCCCAGTCCCATACATCCCTGTCTACCTGTGGTGCTCCCATGTTCCCAGTCCCATACATCCCTGTCTGACCTGTGGTGATCCATGTGGTGCCTACATGTTCCCAGTCCCATACATCCCTGTCTACCTGTGGTGATCCCATGTTCCCAGTCCCATACATCCCTGTCTACCTGTGGTGATCCCATGTTCCCAGTCCCATCCCACCTGTGGTGATCCCTGTTCCTGTAGTCCCATACATCCCTGTCTACCTGTGATGCTCCATGTCCCCAGTCCCATACACCCCTGTGTACCTGTGGTGATCCATGTCCCCAGTCCCATACATCCCTCTCTACCTATCATGATCCCATGTCGCCAGTCCCATACATCACTGTCTACCTGTGGTGATCCCATGTCCCCAGTCCCATACATCCCTGTCTACCTGTGATGCTCCATGTTCCCAGTCCCATACATCCCTGTGTACCTGTGGTGATCCATGTTCCCAGTCCCATACATCCCTGTCTACCTGTGGTGATCCATGTCCCCAGTCCCATACACTCCTGTCTACCTGTGGTGATCCATGTCCCTAGTCCCATACATCCCTGTCTACCTGTGGTGATCCCATGTCCCCAGTCCCATACATCCCTGTCTACCTGTAGTGATCCCATGTCCCCAGTCCTACCTGTGGTGATCCCATGTCCCCAGTCCCTTACATCCCTGTCTACCTGTGGTGATTCCATGGTGGTTTTCAGGGTTGGTTACACTTTGGCTTCAGATTTACGCCTGCAGCTGCTTGATGTAGAGAACAATGAAGACCTGATCAAGAGTCTGTATGGACTACTGATGTTGCTGCCGCAGTCCGAGGCATTCAAGCTGCTGCGGTACCGACTTGAGTGCATCCCACACTACCATTTCCATGACAAAACGTAAGGTTAAGACTGTTGACAACAGCAATGATGTTATGACAGTTTCTTCTTTCAACTGTGCAAAGGGTATTGCCATGAGGTGATCCATATCTGGAATTATTCTGACAATATAAATGAATCCTACTAGAAACCTCTCAAAACATAGTGTCTTTTAACATAAAGCTTTCTGTGTAAAGTTTCCAGGATAAGTTCAGCTTTGAAAAGGTTTTTAAGTCAAAGGTGAAAGTCAGCTTTGAGGTCTTTGTAGAGGATGACATTGTCCTTGTCTCATTCATTGTCCATGTGGTTGTGCCATCTTTTCTCTTCAATAGGTGTCAAAGGACTTATGGGAGATCTTTCGTGAACTTACACTGTAATGATCTTTATAATTCTACAGGTCAAAGGAATGTTTTCAGGCTTTAAAGAGACTGACATTTCTCACAAACCCTTCTTATAGGTACAAATGAATTACAAAGCAATACTGTTATAATATTGGTATTTGTAATATAAAGTTCAACATTTCATGAACTTGAGTTGTAGCTGTCTGCTAAATGTTTACAGTGTCTACACTGGAACCTGAGAGAATGTAGTTTGTACTCTGCTCCATTGGATGACATGTCTTTTTTGTTTTACAGTATACAGCTGGCATATGAAATAATGTTATGTTCATTTTTTTGCAGATCAAAACCTAAGAAAAAAGAAGAGAGGCCACTTGTAGCTAAGATAAACTTTGAAGAACTGTTAGCTCATTTTCACAAAGTACAGGCGAAACATCGTGATTCCAAGCGTAGTCAGCATGCCCTAAAGCTGTCAGCAGTTAAAGCACTCAATATACAGTGAACCACTGTTAGAAAACAACATAATTTATGCAAGATAGATAATATAAGTGTTAATACCCTGGTATATATATTTGCACAGTGTGATGCTGGTGTTGTCAGACACCATGAGAATGTAGTTAAGTTGACAGTAATGTCTGAGTGTATGCTATCACCTGAGTGGAACAGAAAACAAAAATTGTTATGCTTGTGAAACAGGCACAGCTGTATTTGCTCAGAAAAATATGAGCATTAGATATGGCTTGCAGGGGAAGGGACGACAACAGTGTCAAATCTAGTACAGATATTCCCAGCAATGATTCAGAGGTCCTGGTGTTCAGCAGTGAGTGTGTTCTGTGTCTCCTCTTACCTTCACCTCTACTCAACATCTTACTAGAGAGATGCCCCTGTAACTGTGGGATGCTGGCAGTCTCATCATCATCATCACAATTAGGACTTGTGGGACTATGGAACATCAATGTGGCATGTAGTGTATCATTGTCACAAGTGTGACTTTGGTGTCTGTAGAGTATTTGTTTTAGGGTATCTGTCATCAGATGTGATCTGTAGCTTCTATCTGAGTGGGTCAATGCATGCTGTAGTATTGGAGGTTTGTCAGGTATTCAGCAGCTGCTCAGTTTACATGGTGTTTTGTTTATTAATGGTGCAACATACTCATCTGTGTTTATATTACACTAATGGGCCGGCGGCTGTCATTGATATCTCTGTGAGTCATGTGGTGACAAATCCTGAAGAACATGTACATTGTTAAGGGATACTCTCTCACTGTGGGTGCTCCACAACAACTTCATGATGAGATTCTTATACATTTGTTTAGATATATTATATTTCCAAAGACAGAAGACTTCACTTCACAACAGTGAAACAAAAATGCTTAAAGGTCACATGCAACGTAAAACACAACTTTGCAGATTCTGATACCTTTCGGTATGGACTTACCGAAACAAATCATCAAAAATGCAAATTCACCTTATAAAGTTGAAAAAAAACGCAATGAAAAAACCCGCGCGAAATCGGAGTTCAAATGTTTCAGTAATTTTCCCCCGACTTTTCGGGGGAAAACTGGTTTCAACAGTTGGGCTGCGCTCATAGCTCGTGCGCAGTGAAATAGGTTCGCGCAGCTTGGAAGCGGGTTGTCCGGTGAATACTCGGTGAAGGCTTTGGTGTGAGCTATTTTTCTAATGTTTTGTTGATATCTCACTGGCGCGAGCTTTTTATATGTTATGACAGTAAATTAACTGTTTATATAATTTCATTTGTCTATTTCACCACACGTTCTTCTTACAGAGTCACTTTCTCAGTTCGATACTTAAAAGCAATGTCATTATTTAGCGTTGACAGAAATTCTAACTGTGATATAGATATGTCGTTGTTACAGACAAAACTCAATGTCTTGTTTTATTGACACCTGTGTGTCTGCCTGCCTGTTAATGACAATATTCAATACACAGCTGCTATCACTGACCACATGCAATTTGAACTTAACACCTATCAGGCTATACACCATACACAAAATGCATTGATTTATGGCCCGAGTTCGGTCTCTGTCACATTATGTAATTACACAGACAGGCAGGTGTGATACTTGAACACATGACATGTTATGATGTCTGTTGATTGTAAAATGTTATACACAAAAAATGAGCATGTATTTACAAAACCCAACATCTCTATATGTACACACACAATGAGCCGTGAGGGCATCTGCAAATGAACCAGCCATTACACTTGAGTGCACACCCACCCACTCTGACTGGGTTCGCTATCCCGGCTGCTTCGTTTCTTGGGAAGTAAACCCAAGTACACAATATTGCACTTTTGATTTGCGATTGTACGCTTATAATTTTGTTTATATGTTTTTTCATAACCAGCAATGTATATGAAAGGTCATGAATAAGTGATAATTGTGTTTTAATTATGTTTGATTTTTTGGTTGCATGTGACCTTTAAGCTCACCAAGGTATTACTGTTCCCCTACTCGACATGTGCAGCGGCCAGTCAACATGTCCATTATGATAAGTAGATTGACTTGAGTGCAACCATCTTGCCAACTGAATCCATTTCATAAGAGGAGCATACTGCTTGGTAAGTTTGTCCAAGGTTCTAGTCTTCTCAACAGAAGAAAAATGTGTCAAATTCTTCTTAACCAACAGAGTTCTGAGAACATGGTAATAACTTGCAGAAGCAGTACCAGATGAATATAATATTCACTGAATCTATGTATTGCATGTGCCTCATTTTACTTGTGGTTTGTAACATTCAGAGCAAACACAACAATTTCTACATTTGTAGCTGTCAGGGCTGATGATGGAGATTGGTACGCCATTAGAAGAATTTTATGGCTGGACAATTATCAAAGAGGAGATGGCATTGTTCAGGAGCAAGATAATTATTATTATTAAGGAAAGATTTAACTACATTACCATGCTTACTGTATGATGACGTAAGCAGATAATATAGACAATGAAAAACTGGCTACATGAAATGGTTATCAAGATACATGTAACTCAATACTCATCTAGGAATGATATTTTCCCCCAAGGAAACCCAAAGATCAGTACAGTCATACTCATGTTTGCCCAAACCAACTTGAATGCCTGAATTGAACTGGCTGCTTTTTGTTAATTTTCACCACTGGCAATACCTAGCAGGAAAATATAGTCTTAGACGGTATACCAATACCAGTGTGGACTCAATTCCAGAGGGAATTTTCAAAATAGCTAACCCCATTTTATCTGTGTTTTTAGACCCATACCTGTGCAAACGGAAACCTATGCCAATCTATTGCAGCTATTGTGTAAGTCACAATGCAAACAATTTGAGCCTGCTGCACTGTTTTATGTTGACATTAAAGCTATTTAATCCTTACTAAAGAAAGCAGGGGTTGCATTCAGACCTGTTCCATCAGTTGGAGCATGCTGATGATGATCGACAAGTTCTTGGCAGGTGTTATTGTGGGGAGACAGAAGTGGAATATATATTTTACAGGGTGCTGTGTTTTCTCTGGAGAGCAGTGGGGATGAGAATCTGGTAATTAATTTATTATGACCTAATTGAGCTATATTCACTTATTAATGTCTACACACTTGCAGTATTTGTGCAGTATTAGTGTTGCATAAACAAAAGATTAAATAACTGTTGTTTGCATAACACAAGACTATTTCTTATTTTGCCTTACAGCTTGTTTATATGGTCAAAGAAATCAGACATACATATACATATGCATAATTGGTTTTGGTTGTAGACATTTACGAAAATAAATAGAAAATAACATTGCTCACTTATCAACCAATGCCTGTGTATAGACTTCTATCTTCTGGATAGACTGATTTCATTGGAAAAATGTCAGATAGGCTCAAATTGAAACTGGAATTCATTTCTCTGCAGAACTGTTGAAATAGTTTGTTGAAATACTGCACAAGTATCAAATCACTTGCTGCCCAGTGTGTGTTATATTGTAATTTCTTTTTAGTCTCTATCACGCTAGATGAAGTATTGTATTATATGCAAAGTTTTCAGATTCTTGAGCATTGTTTCCTTGTTACATTATATATTGTTATGAACCTTTGAACACACATCCACCAATGGCTTTAGGATTCAAAAACTCTCAAAGTATGTCATGTTTCTCTATTTCTGGGATAACAAAACAAGACCAAGTATAGAAGCTAAAGGGGTCATACATTTTCCCATACAGACACATTAACTCTCACTAAGATAAGTCACTGGGGGACCTGGGAGGCCATCTTGTCATGGTGTGGGCGTTCTAACTTGGTTGATGGTGTATCAATGTACACTTATGTTGGGATCAGTCTTCATCATATCAATCACTTGACATGCCTGGTCCACACTTGATGGGGTTGAGGGAGAATGGGGTTGAGGGAGTATGTAAAATGTCAGTTGTTTATCACTGACTGGGATTAAGCAGGGCCAGACGATTGTCAGGTGCTATGCATGGTTCATAAAGAGTGCTTGTATATGGCTTACATATCATGTTGCAGCGACTGCACAGGGGGGTAATAAGCTTGGGGTATATGCAGCAATATACAGTATGGAAGGGGTCGTGGGTCTTAAGTGATAATACTTTCTCATTGACAATGTCTGTGCAGACTACAAACTTTTTCTCATAATTCACCTTGTCTTTATCATCAGTTACTATTGCCCTTTTCAATTCTGAAAATTAAGGGGGCGGTGGGGTAGCCTAGTGGTTAAAGCGTTGGCTCGTCACACGAAGACCCGGGTTCGATTCCCCACATGGGCACAATGTGTTAAGCCCATGTCTGGTGTCCCCCTCCGTGATATTGCTGGAATATTGCTAAAAGCGGCGTAAAACTAAACTCAGTCAGTCTGAAAATTAAGAAAAGTATGTATTACAAGGCCATATTTGACATTTTTGTGCATGTATTGTCAACCCAGAAAAATGCCCAGCTATCAGTTTATATAACACAAATCAAAGCTTGTTGCAGTCTACGTTCCAGCACGTCTGACATGAACAAATGTTTGAAACATATCAAGGCATTGACAATAATAGTGAAATATGCAACTAAAGATAAGAGATTGGACTGGGAAATATAATGTTTTCTGGGAAGTGTTGTGATAGTGTAACCATAGTAACTGATGCAGAGTGCAATATGATTGTCCAGTACTGTAAGTAGCCGGTGTTAATGTCTGTACATACATCACATGAGGTTTGTATATTTACTTACTATTGTGTATTGTATCTGTGCCCAGCAAACTGTTGTTGGAATCTGTGTGACTTTGAGTCACTGTGTATTGTTCATATTTGTCAAGGTATCAAAATATATAACAATCATACTCAACTTGTACATGTTGTCTTTTCAAATATATAAGCAGCCTGTGGGAGCGGTGGGGTAGCTGAGTACATGCGCTCGTCATGCTGAAAGCCCGGGTTCGATCCCCACATGGGTACAATGTGTGAAGCCCATTTCTAGTGTACCTTGCCGTGATACTGCTGGAATATTGCTAGAAGCGGTGTAAAACTATACTCACATTTGCATACCGCTGTGTCTGTACTGTATGAAGGCAGGAGACCCATCCGAGTCATACTGGTGTGTCTATGTACTGTGTGAAGGTGGGAGACCCATCCGAGTCATACTGGTGTGTCTATGTACTGTATGAAGGCCGGAGGCCCATCCGAGTCATACTGGTGTGTCTGTGTACTGTGTGAAGGCCGGAGACCCATCCGAGTCATACTGGTGTGTCTATGTACCGTATGAAGGCGGAAAGACACATCCGAGTCATACTGGTGTGTCTATGTACTGTGTGAAGGCCGGAGACCCATCCCAGTCATACTGGTGTGTCTATGTACCGTATGAAGCGGGGAGACCCATCTGAGTCATACTGGTGTGTCTATGTACTCGTATGAAGGGGGACCCATCTGAGTCATACTGGTGTGTCCATGTACTGGGTGTGTCTATGTACTGTGTGAGGCGGAGACCCATCACAGTCATACTGGTATGTGTATGTACACCACTGTGTGAAGGCGGGAGACCCATCTGAGTCATACTGGTGTGTCTATGTACTGTACTGTATGAAGGCGGAGACCCATCTGAGTCATACTGGTGTGTCTATGTACCGTGTGAAGCGGGGAGACCCATCTGGAGTCATACTGGTGTGTCTATGTACTGTATGA